GCTGAAGGCAGAGACTTACAGCTATGCGAACATCTGGATTTATGTGGCTAGATGACGACAGAGAACATCAACACTTTAGAGGCGCATGATGGTGACAACTCGTGGGGTTCAACAACCGCGCGATGTCTGAGCCCGACTCGCAGGAGGATGTACTGGTGTCGGCTAAGCCCATGGCTTTGGTCTGATGGTTACGGCTCGACAACACGATGGGATGGCTGACACCGAACAACTGACTAGGAGGCCCATCAGAGATCTACATACAACTGATAGAGGCGACTTCTCAAATTGGTGGCTTGTCGAAAGTTGGAGGTAGCATATTGGGGTACCAGCGATGAATAAAACAACAGTTGGACGCTCTCGGATGAGTGTTTTTTTTTTTTTTTTTAGATTTTACTTATAGGTCACTGGTCGTTGATATTTCATATATGTTTGGGATTTCATACATTTTTTTAGACCGATGTAATCTTAATAGGTTTGTTTTATGATTAGGGTATATTTGTATAATGTTGGTTCATGAAAGAATTCATCATTTTTTGTGTTGGTATGAAGACATGGGTTAGAAGAATCGAAAATTGAGTGAAACTTCTAGTTATGAGACGGATTGATGAAAGAAGAATGGTTTTTGAACTTTGATTTTGAAAGAGGAATTCAAAGGGTTGGAGATGATGATCCGTTACGAAATAATAGCAAGAAATTAAAGAACCATAATTTCTGATTATAATTTTATGTTAGTTCCTCATCATCATCATAAATTCCAATTTGTTGCAATCTTGATCATACAATCATCTAAAAAATTGATGCATTTATTGTAAAAGACGTAGAAAGTGTTACAAATTATGAATGTTCATTAAATTCAAGTTGCATTTGATAAAAAAGAATATTATAGGTTGCAAATCTAAATATACATTAAATATAAGTTGAAAAAATATGTTACTCAATGTTTATCTAAAGTACTTGTACAAGAAGTTTAACCACATAAAGGCAACCACATTGATGCATTTATATCCGTTTAAATGGATTGTCGTGTCATTAATACCAATGTGCCCTACTTATTTAAATGACAAAATTGTGAGGCACTGAAACTATTCAATCTTTTTAATGACATATGATAATGTTATTCGTGTGTCCGCCATTCAGTATCTTTATATATTTAAATAAATTAACTAATATAAAAGTATGTTTAAATTAAAATATATTTGGTGGAACGAGGACATGAAAGAGAGATAGTGTGATCGGAGTTCAAATGAATAAATACGAATGTGGATGCCCTGAGCAACTATCAAAGAGCTTCTTTCGTCTTACCACTTCTGAGCTTTCCACTTAAAACAGAGAATAGAAAATCATCCATGACCTTTCCACTTTTAGAAAATCACCTAGAAAAACAATAGTTAATCTTTTTTTGTGCAAAATGAGACAAGTGATTAGTTGATTTTTGCGCTATATAATACATAATAAGACTTCTTTCACATGTTATTGGTAATAATATGTTAAAGTCAATATTAAATGCAATTTCAAAATGGTTATATTTTTCTCACTCCATGGGTGTTAGTTGCTATTTTAAAGGCAAAAACAATACATTACTTAATCCAATGAACACCAAACTTGATCAATACAAGACAGATGTGTTCAATACTTGAGTATAGTGGCTGGTAATGTGTGTTTTAAAAAATGAGAAAATTATGTTGTTCACCTATAAACCTATTTTTTTATTTACGTTACAAAATTTTTATTTTTAATTACAAATATATTAATTTTCACTATTTATGAATGATTGATTTATGGTTTAGTGTTTTCACTAGCTTCTAAATTATACTATTTTCTAATTTATTACTCATTTTGTAAATTATTTATGCGTTATTTTATTTGAAATCTCGTATTTTTTGCATTTATAAAAAAAGTTTTGTAGCATACATATAAAAAAACCACAAAAAATTGCCCAACCAGCCGGTCAACGGACTGAACCGGCCTGTTTGGCGGTCCGACCGGCCGACTAGCCACTTGTAGCCGCGTCGTCGGCCTATGTTAAATGTTAATGCTGCTTGAGCCACTTGTAGCCGCGTCGTCGGCCTATGTTAAATGTTAATGCTGCTTGAAATGATATTGGGGCAGAAAACATAGAATCAGAATCCAACGCCATAGGGGAAACCCGCAAAGCTAAACAAAAAATCACGCAGCAAATCTAAACCAGAATTTCATGTCCATCTTGCCCTCACGGAATCTTGGTACAGCGTCGTCGTCCTCTCGCTCGTCGTCTCAATCTTCCCCTTCCGGCCATGGCTTCTGCTCCTCTTCCGATCAATCCCACCCAAACCCCCAAATCTCTAATTCCGCGCCGGCGCCGGAAGCTCGTCCTCCGTCAGGTCTTAATTTGAGCTTTGTCTATTTTCCGTTATGCCGTTTTCGAACGGCGTTAATAATTCATATCCTGACCAAACGTGCAATGGTTTTAGTGTTCGAAGATTGTTGGGGTTTAGTCTGTTGAAAGAATTGAGCTGTGCTTTCACGTTATTTGTTACCTATATTAATATGAACAACATTATTCACCCTCTGGTCCCCCTTCACACATTCTTGCGTGAAACACGTTTTATTGAACTAACCAATGAGCAATGATGTTCAAGATTAGTTTGTTCCGCGAGAAAATATATCCCAACAAGTCTTTAATGTCCAAAATGAAGTTCAAATACTGTCATGTGCTATTTGTCAGCAACTATGAGTGTCGGAGTCATTTGAAACAAGTGTGTCAAGTTACTCAAATTCGTGCGGCATTTCATTTTGTTTGGTATCTTCAATTACAATGCTTAATTTTTGCTCATATTTTCCAGGACAAGTGTCTCTTTCCACTAACGATTCAGGAGGATCTTCCAAAGAGGTAATTGTTGATGTGGTCTGCCTGGCAGATTCTAAAGTAAAGAAAGTTCATTTTGATTGTTTCACAACATGGCTGTTTTATCTGAAAAACTTATTTGTATCTCCCATTTAGGTGAAGGGAGAGGAGATACACAACAGTGACAAAAGTCCAATTCAGCAAAATGGAGGCAAAAAATTCTTGCATCCCGATGCTGCTGCTCATGGGCCAATTGGAGCCTCAAAGTGGCAAGGAAAAACTTCTGGTTCCCAGAATAGCTCCGGACATTCAGCTGGGAAGAAAGCGCAGATGCTTAATGCCAACCACTTGTTAAATTTTCATTACGATCCTATACATATCTCACGCCCACAGCCCAGGGCTCCTCCTCCACGAAGATATCATAAGCGGAAACCTTATAATAAGGACTTATTCTTCCAAGCAAACTACAGGTTTGTGGTGCTAGATTCGAAGAACTATGCTGTCGAGTCTTTGGATCCAGATAAGATGTTATGTTGGGAAGACATTATCTGCTTTAAGTACTCCACTCCTTTTCCAGTCCACTGTCCCATTTGCTTAGATGATCCCTTATGTCCGCAAATAACCTCGTGTGGCCACATCTTCTGTTTCCCATGCATTTTGCAATACTTTTCAATAGGTGGAGCAGATCTTAAAGATGAATGCTGGAAAAAATGCCCTCTTTGCTTTGCTATGATTTCTTCTAAAGATTTGTACACAATCCGCATTGAGAATGTGAAGCAATATCGTATAGGAGATGAAATAGAGTTTGTCCTATTAACGCGTCAGAAAGGTTCTTTCCGTTCTTCTTTTAGAAATAACGAGAGCATTAACGTTGAGGATGAGCTTCTGGACTCTTTCTCGAAGTTCACCTTGACTTCGGATGTTGACCTATCTGTTAGAGAGGCAATGTCGGATTTGGATAGTTGGATAGCCAGAGCCAATTCGGGCCTAGTTGATGACATTGAAAAGCTTCCATATGTTTGTGCTGCTATTGAGCAGCTGGAGAGGAGGAAGAAATATTGGAATGCACAAAGGACTTCTATTGGTGACAAGGAAAGTGCAAGTCTTTATGGCTCTCCACCAAGTGCTAAATATAACCATTCAGATGGTTGTGAAAAATCATCTCCAGGAAAGATGGTTTCTGAGTTCTGTTTGCCTCAAGTTGCAGAGTTCAATGAAATGTTTGAAGATCATGAAAGATCTTCGTCTTCTTCAGCTGATGATAATAAATATTCGCAGGCCGTTTCTATTGGCATCCAGGAGAGGAAAGAGGGGGACTCATATAATTTCTACCAGGTCATTGACCTCATATACTTTATGTTTTTTTTTTTTTTTTTTTTTTTTTTTTTTTTTTTTTTTTTTTTTTTTTTTCTACTTTTATTTATTTCTTTTTATCCTTTTTTCCCCTGGACTGAATAGAGTTTCTTGATGTGAGCTTGGGATCTGGATAACCGTTCTAGTTGATTTTGTAATGCATTGATCTTTTGTTATTTCAATATTCTAGGCCATTGATGGCCAGCACCTAATTCTTCATCCATTAAGCATGAAGTGCCTTCTACACCATTATGGCAGTTATGAAAATCTTCCTAACAGGTAGCAGGACTATTTTCTTTCGCTCCTTGTTTGATTTTTCTCTAAAACTAAAGTAAAGTATAATATAAAAAGGAACCACCTTTCTTTGTGAGTAGAGCAGTAGGGATGCCAGTGTTCTTTTAATTGCTAAGTTATCTGCTACGTGGCCTTGAAATTGGTGTTATGCTATAGCCAGGTCCGTAGTGTCTGGAAATATTTTTAAAATTAGAATTTATCCAGTCATATATTGAAATTTTAATTCATTTGTACCTAGTGCGTGTCGGTCTGATAAGAACTAATATTCCAGAATCACTGGAAAGATCTTACAGTTAGAGACAGCGACACAATCAGAGGCCATCAGACGGCGCTATCGCTTCTTAAGTCATTTATCCTTGACAACAACATTTCAGGTGATCACTAGTAAGAAATATTTCCATATGTTTCTCTCAAACATCTTCTTGTAGCTTCAGTCACTTATATGTGCTTTTGCAGCTTTGTGAGATCGATATGTGTGATAAATTGCCAGCTGAATCTCTTTCTCCATTTATGGATGAAATTAAGAACAGAGACAAGCAAAGAAAGAAACTTGCTAGAAAGGTGTGGTTTCAATACTTCAAATCTTGCTGGTGTTGTTGTATGTTGGAAAACATTCATAATTGTATATGCCTACAGTTGCCTTCTGCTTTTGGTACAGAGCTAGTGTATCTTGCCTTAGCATTTGACTCTTGACTTCATATATTTCTTGGATTTTGAGATGCGGTTAAGTGTTTCAGCCTCAATGAATATTGCTTTTAAAAAAGTCAGAAAACTATTAAGTTTAACTGTTCGCACCACTGCTGAAGGGTCATATGTTAATAGAGAGAGATAAAAGACCACTTTACGGACAGCTATATGTATAAGTGGTTCTCTTGTGATGAATAAATCTTGTTGAGTTTTAGAGGTCCGCATAAGGTGATAAATCTGCATACTTCTTTCCTTCTTAGTTTGAGGTGTTGAGTGACACGTTTTATGGAGTACAATGACTCTTGTATTCCAATATCATGACTACTACAATATGTTATTGAGTATTTGAAGGTCTGCATGAGGCGATAAATCTAGGGTACTTATTCCTTCTTAGGTTGGGAAGTTGAGTGACACGTTTTATGCAGTAGATTACTGTAAAATATCACAAGTCTAAAAAAATTTGTTGAATTTAACAGGTCTGCTTAAGGTGACAAATTATCTTGCATTTTGTTCCATCTTGGGTTGAAACATTGAAAAACATTTTAATGTAGTAGGATGAAAGTTATGTTCCAATATCACGAGTTTCTGCAGTGTAAACTGGTTTGATGTGATTAGGAACTTAAGGAAAAAATTAAGGCCGAAGTTGCTGGCAGCCAGTTTGTGCCTGTGCCAAGTTACTCATATGATCCTGCCCCTAGCTTCTCTGTGGACGACTTTGAAGGTGAGTTTTCCACTGAATGATAGTATGAGCTCGTAATCTGCTGTATATTTTAATTATGTAAGTGGTGGTCGCTACACAAAGACAATAGTAGCTTTGTACTTTAATACTTTTGAATATTAAGTAGTTCATGGATCATGGAATTTCATTATTTCACATGCCATCACACATTGTTTTTAGTAGCCATTGTTGCTTATTAAAGGAAATATATGTTGCTTTTTTGTTAATTCTCTCACTCAATCGTGTTCTTATTTGTTGCTCACGTTTGCCTGCCCTAAAAGCTTTGGGAACTAGTCCTGCTGTTGCATCATCATCATCATCATCTTCTTGGGCACCCACAGCTGGAGAAAGGCAATCGTTTTCAAGTGTTGCGAGGCTTGGTTTTGCTGCTGCCTACGATTCCCCTTCGCTCAGAACTGATCAAGTCCCCAGTGCCCCAAAGATTGATATGCCTCACGATACTTCTGTTATACACCAACAAGGTCTTTTTAAGGATTATTTCAGACTTGTAGATACGTTTTTTAAATGTGCAGTAGATAGACAATGTCGAATTTTTCTTTTGCTTACTTTTTTTTTTTTTCCTTTTTACTACCTCTTATAGGAGGTTCGAGAGGCACTGGGGCCTCTTTTGCCAACGTAGCATCGAGAACAAAGCATGTGGAGATACCGGGTAAACCCAAGGCAGATGAGTCAAGGGGTAAGAAGGGGAAAAAATCTGATCGAGTTCTCATGTCCACAGCCGGTGGGCGGCGCTATTGAAGACGGAGATGATTTTCTTTGACGTGATGCTTGTTGTATGTTGGTAGATTTTAATTATGTTTTAGTTTATTTTTGGTGTGGTGAGATTTTGATGATGAATAGTTTTTTGTGAATATGAATAGACATGATATTGCTGGCTCAAGGAAAGATGAAATTCCAATAATAAAACAATGGATGCAACTCTTATAATCTCATGAATAAGATGAGTGGATCTTCATGACCTACCCAATTTCAGTTCCAGTTTTTTTTTTTTTTTTT